AAGGTCAAAAGTAATAACTTTTCTTTGTTTGATGAGCTTAATCAAATTATTGATGGACAGAGTGCTGAAATTAAAGGAGAAATACAAAAGAACATATTACATTTAAAAAACTCAAAAATTTAATTCTCAACTGTGATGATGAAAGTATTCAAAAACTGATCCGCAATCCATTTATTGTAAAAGTTTCTGAGGTGCCTGATGAAGTTCAAGAAGAAGTAATTGATATGCTATACGACAGCAACTTAAAAGATACATTCGAATCAGGAATTAATCTTGAAGAATTTTGGAGACAAAAGGCAATTTCTTTACCAAAACTTCGAGACATTGCTATTCGTTACCTAACTTTATTTACTTTGACATACGTATCTATGTTTTCGCGCTTCTGATTATTAAAAACAAGCACCGAAATCGGTTGGATGCCACTGCTAATATGCTTTTTAAGTTTAAGTAACACTGAACCAAGGATTCAGAATTTAGTAAAGAGTATGCACAAAAGTCGCATTAATTTATAATGCAATTTTTTTACAGTTACAGATTTTACCTAATAATTGAAGGACATTAAATAATTTTATGCGTATTTTACTTATAGACGAATAAGTTACTTTCTTGAAAGCCCTGGTGGCATGTCCACCACACTACAACTTGCTGCACAGCCTGAGCAAAAACATCTCTTCGAACGAGAGAAAGAAGTCCACCCTATTTATAGTTGGAATGTGCCGTTTTGTGAGGCAGTTTGACTACTCACCTTCTAACATTAGAACGAAAGACAGGAAAATGGATAAAAATTCCAAGAACTACCAAGCTGTTATTGCCAACATGGGCACCCCATTCGGTCTGACGTGAATTTATAAAATGTTGCATAGTATGCGGACAGACTGGATCGAGGGTAGACACTAATATGCGAAAGAGTTTTGAGGTTTTTTTTAATGGTCTCAATGTTGGAGCTGATGGAGTTGGTTATATGTTACAAGGAAGTTGTAAAACCTCCTTCTTGATTCTGCTTCGGGCAATGATTAAAGTGATGAGTGGAAGGTGATAGGATCGAAAAATAATGGATATGTAATCAAGAGGACCAACTTTGTCAGTACATCGATAAGCGACATCTTTTGGCAGCAACTCAAGTCGAGAATACATCGTGTCAGAGATCACATTACTGAGAATATCCAGCCTTTCCTCACGCTGCCACTCAACATTAAAAAAGTTAAGACTGCCAGGAAAGCGCTCATCCCAAAAAACAGATAGGGTCGATTTCGTCGAAAAGTAATGACCAGGTACCAGGTCAAAGCGCGGTCAGAGCCACGACGGTTGCACAAAGATTATCAGGCTCTGGAGTTTGAATTAGACATGAAAATTGATTAGATACTGGTTTCGTCGAAAACACACTTTCCAGAAGAGAAGCAGTATACGTTACTCGCCGTCGTGTATTACGACAGCAAAGAGGCCAACAAGGGACACTACTTAACCGATGCCTTCCACGTCGGTTACAACTGTTGGTTGAGGTATGACGATTCCTAAGTCAAGATCGTACATGAAGAACACTTGCTGAAGCCCCAGGGAACTCGAATTGTTGTTCTATAGGCGCAGCGATGCAATCCGACCTAAATAACGCCCCCTAGGGAGATTAACTTGCTCAGCGTCTGTGATCGTACGGAATTTCTTTGTCGAGTTTTTACCGAATTAGATTTTTTGTTGGTTTTAGTAGATTTTTTATCCCTTTATTCTATTGTAATGTAACTTCTATGTGATTCCATTCACTCAAATAAACACAAAGTTGAATTGTATTTCAAAATATTCATCTGTTCCAAAGTTTCTACACGGTTGGATCTGTCAAATGCTTGCCGGAAACAACTAATACCACGATGGGCATTGAATTATACTCTACAGAAATGTGTGAAAGCAGCAGTACATCGCAGAAATCAATCAAGTGATCTCCTACAGACTGGTTTTGAGGTATTGTCCTCGTAGTGCAGGACATATCCAACCAAGTCAGCAGAGTGTCCGGAACGCGACTGACGAGATTGTTTTTTTTACTACCTTGGGGAAGAAGCATCTCATGTACCTACCAAAATTCTAACAAATAAAAGAGAATCCGACTACTTTCAGGAATTTCGCACAAATATCTGTTGGAAATAATTAAATGACCATTGGGTATTACCCGTGGAAGTTTCCGGCAGGCATTTACCAGATTCTATACTGTGTAGGAACTTAGGAAGAGTTGAAATTTTGAAATATTTTTTCTGAGTCTATGCATTAATAAGTAACTAATAATGACATAAAAGTTCGCGTATACTGTATCAGTTGGTACCACATATGGCAGAACATTTATTTGCATTTCTTCAAATCACATTCACCTGCGATTTCACCATCAAATTGATTTTTGAGCACTCCTGGACAAAAAGTACTGTTATGTCTAAGATATATTATTGAATCAAGAATATATTTTTGAATAAAAAACCTTGTCTATATTCCTGTGGTTAGGTATCTATCCACGACTCAATTCAAGAGTTTATGAATGAAAAACTTAAGGCAACTAACATATCAGATCTTCAATTATTCTGTTTCGACTGAATCCTTTTAACATGCCTCTGATATCGGACTATTTTTTATGTTTTCATCGTTGTAAATCAGTTTAAAAACTTGTGATTTTGATATATCCGTGGATGTACCTATAATGTAGAGATGTATTGTATCATAACATTCGCAGGAAAACATAATCTGTAAATATGTATTCTTACATTATTGCCTTTTACATACTCTTGTATCATTACATCATTGTGTTTTATATACTCTTGTAGAATATACATCGATTTGGTTACACAGAGTAAAGTCAGATGGTGGAAACAAATGTGGTTCTATTTTGGTTATCAAATAATCAAATTTACATCGAGTATGAACCACGTTCATCAACAAAAGACTACAATTTCAATTCAAACAAGATTTCTATGGCTTGGATTTATACAAATAAGCGAATGAATGTCATAACGTAATGTTATATGAGTAAATTCAACTCATTCGTGGCATAAAGTCGTAAATTTATGAATGAATTGAGTTCTTCATCTTATAATGTTATCTAGATTGGGGCTGAAGAGGGAACAAGGGAGGTGTCTTATTTCAAAACATCGGATGTCTAGCAGTTAGGATGACTATGTTCCATGTATGTGAAATTTTACCTCTTCCATTCACTATATTGTGTAGCAATCCTCTGAATGATATTTGATTCAATTCCATAACGAATGTTTGGAATACAAACTGAATAGAGAATAGTGCTTTTTGTATAATTCATCGTTCTTATATTAAGATGAAGGCAAAAATATTTCTTTTTCAAAAATTGGTCTCCCCAGAAATATACTTTTTTCAAGTTAAAAGATAGTACATAGTACCACTACTCGCCACTAGATGTCGTTAAGTGTCACAATACACAATAATAATTGAAATGCAAAAAAAGCGTAAGTTTGCTTAGGTCACGCACTTTGCAACTATCCTAGTCTAGAAATATAGTTAAGGGCAGAAATTGGCCCTTGGAGCAAACTGAAAAAATTAAGAAGGCTTCAAAGTTTGGAGACCCCTGATCTATAATGCAGCTAAAATATAAGACCATCTACCGACAAGTTTTAAAGATATCCAATCACCTTATCAGTTCAGGAAGTCTGTAAAGTAAGTTCTCATTGATCAGGTTTTTTATAGTGTTCAAGAGTACTTTGATAAAGACATGATAAAGACAAGTTTTGCTGGAATCAGTTTTGAAATACAGAGCTTTTAGGATTTTTCATGTCGACTTTGAAACACACACTTTGATAATAGGCTTTAGACGATACGGCGATAAAACAGAATGCAAATCTTTACTGGAAGCTGTAAAATTTTGATTTAGGCAGTAAAGACGCTGGTTTTTGTTCAATTTTCAAACAAATTCGCAATGAAAAGTGAGAATTATGAAAAATGGTATATGATAGTCTCTTTAATAGAGACCCTAGAAAATGCAGAAGCAGCAAACAATTTGTATCACCAGAGGTATCCAGAAAGGAGACAACCTTTTAGAGACATTTTTGCAAGATTGCGACACAACCTAATTGATGTGGTCAATTTGAAAAGAAAAGGCCAAAATTATATGAATCAAATAGAGAAGTTGGAAGAAATAGCCGTTTTGAAAATATCAACAGGCCTACCAAGAACTAACGTTAGGAGGATTTTGAAAAAACATAAATTTTAGCCACACAGGACCAGAAGAGTTCATCAACTCAAACCAGGAGATTTTGAATGCCGCATGGCTTTTTGCCAGTGGTTTGTGGAAAGTTGTAACCAAGTGTGAGATTTTTCATTAAATTGTATTTGGATAGACAAAGCTTCTGTGGGCAGTGCCGACATTTTCAACCGTTACAATTCTTATACTTGGGCACAACAAAATCCTCAATCTATTGTGGAGCAGAGAAGTCGAAGAAGAATTTGATTTAGAATGTGGGTTTTTCTCACTTTTATTGAACTTGAAAAATAAAAAAATAGCTGAAATTGAAAACAATATATTGAATATTCTGAATACGGGTGAAGGCACTTACCTGAACAGTCGATCTCGATGTCTGTCAGCGATAAATATTTCTTCATGCTCACCGGAATTAACTCCCTTCCTGAAATGGCAATGCCTCAGTGATCATATTCCAATTTCCATGGAATTCGCCGGCAGACCAATCAAAGAATAACCTGGAAAGCGATGGCAACTGAAAACAGCTAACTGGGATCTATATGAAATGAAAACTGAGGAACTATACTTACCAAATGATACAGTTGAAAANCGGGTAGCTGAAAAAGATAGTACATAGTACCACTACTCGCCACTAGATGTCGTTAAGTGTCACAATACACAATAATAATTGAATTGCAAAAAAAGCGTAAGTTTGCTTAGGTCTCTCTTGTATATATTTTTGATCCTGTGAATTATTGCATTGCTGTTCCATTTTCTATTCGTATTTTACTGTCTTTACTTATGTTCAAACAATTTTTTTGTTTAGGTCGCATCTATCGGCCCTAAAATTGATTTGACATATGCCCACGAGCATTTAGGAGACGATCCCAAAATACTCCAACAGATCTTGAGTGGTCGGCATGAATTCAGTAAAAAATTGAAAGCTGCCAAGAAGCCTCTGATAATAGTAGGTTCAGAAAGTTTAGAGAGACCTGATGGTGCTGCAATACTATCGGCGGTGCAATCTTTAGCTTCTGCTACGGTACCAGAGGACAAAAACTGGAAGGTCTTGAATATATTACACAAGATTGCAAGCCAGGTGAGATACGAACTTCTCTGGTCCTGTGAATTTTTAAAAGGAATTGATGTTCTAGGTGGCAGCTTTGGACATTGGTTATACTCCAGGTGTTGATAAAATTAGGGAGGGAAACCTGAAGGTTCTGTTCCTGTTAGGTGCTGATGATGGGGCAATTGAAAAATCGGATTTGCCTAAAGACTGTTTTGTGATTTATCAAGGTGATAATATTTCTTGGCTCACACAGAGTTTTTATCACACTAGTGCTAATTTTTTTTCTATATTCAAGGTCATCATGGAGATCAAGGAGCTGCCATTGCAGATGCAATCCTTCCTGGAGCCGCTTACACCGAAAAACAGGGTACATACGTCAACACTGAAGGAAGAGCTCAACAGACATTAGTCGCCGTATCGCCTCCTGGTAGAGCAAGGGAGGATTGGAAAATTATCAGAGCTCTATCCGAAATAGTTGGAGCTAAACTACCATATGATAAATTGAAAAGCGCAACACGTGCATTCAGCAATACGGAGAAATTTCCAAACGAGACAGTACAGTTTTAGGAAGGAATATTTTTTGGAAAATTCTGATTTCAAAATGATAAAGGACGAAATGGAAGTATTGCTGGAGTTGAAATGAAGTAAAGAAGATAGACCGATATATCGGTATATCGGTATTTGAAATATCGGTATCGGCTGATTATCGGTATCGGCTAAAATTTCTATATCGGTCGATCACTAGTTTTGTCACAGCAGCTCACGTTATGGCAGGAAGTATTCAATTTCTTCCTTATGATTTCAATTGTAGGAATCTCATTGGTTTTGTAACAGTCGTATATTGTTTTTTTTTAACGATTTTATTAGATGAACATCTAAAGGTTTTGGTAATCCCGCATCAAATCGCGTCTTGGGTTCATAAGGTTTGTTTTTGACTATTTTTATTCACTGGTATCTTTTTTCGCATTGTTCACCAGCGCTATTGGAAAAACTCTGCGTTGTTATCACACTCGTTATTACTATTAGTACTTGTCTAAGGACGCCACATTTTAAACAAATAACAAAAATTGTAAGTAATTATAACTTCACCAATATCGAATTTCAATACTCAAATCGCGATCAGTTCCTGAACTGAACATTGGCAACACGACTCTTTTATTGGTTACCGTAACATGACTTTAAATTTAATTTCATGACTCTTCAGCCATTCATAAAACTCGTTTAGTAAAAATTATCTAAAACGAACCGCCAATTCTTCAGTCCACGTGGACTAACTCGTAGCGGCATTATTTCTTTGTATTGGTTTTTTTGGACTTTGAGTTCGCCGATAGCTTTAAATCACTATATCGGTTACTTCGACTATAACCATGTGATTGCGGCAAATCCTATATTGGTGAAACTGAGAGGCCATTGAAAGTCCGCATTGCTGAGCACAAGAGAAACACACAGCAAGGAGAACCCAGCAAATCGGGAATTGCAGAACATGTTTGGACTTATCAACATAACATCAAGTGGTCCCAAGCTGGTTCAAGAGTAAGTTCAAAGAAACTGCATATATGTTGTCCAACGATGCATTTAGCCAAGCTAGCATAGAGATACGCAACATATGGAAACCTTCAATTAGGCGGAAAACGGTCAACTCCCACTTAACCGGTGAAGCGGAGAAAGGGAAGAGGGGATAGGTGAAAGTGCTTGAATGACCTATATATAGTCATTTCTCGTAGGAATAGTCCAGTCATCACCCGAAGACGATTGTGGATACTAACAATCGAAACGTCGTGAAGTAACTTGGTTTGAAACATTTTTAATTTTTATTTAATTTTATTGTATTTATTGTTCGATGTAATTGTTATTTTCAGCTATTTATTTTTGATTCTTCCTTAATTTATTAGTTCTTTCAGGGATTTTAAATCATTTCATAAAATATCAGACAATGGAAGTCCGAAGTAATGAAATTCAAGAACCTTCTAGCTCTATGTCAAATCGAGTCAATTGTCAGAACTAACAGAACTAACCAATGTGTTAGGACTTGAACCCTTCCTAAACATGATATCTTCGAAAAGAACCCGCTTTCAAACTGGCAAGTATTCATACATTTTTAACTATATTGTCAAAAAATTAGCTCTTCTAAATGGATCTGGAGGCTCTGGGATCTGGGCTAATCGTCTCTATTATCCGAATTATTTTCAGTGACAACTTCGCCTTGCTCGTTATTGTTCCGATGATTGGGGGTTATCTAATCAAATACTGATTTGGATATCTTTCCTACATCTTATTATGGCCATTACCAGTTCAGCTTCGAAACACTGAGTTATACTCGAAAACAGAGGCTAGAGGTAAAAGACATTGTGCCTGTGAGAAGAATCCTAATATGTCCTTAAACGTGGTTAGACTGCCTTTGACAACAGGGAAGTCTCCTAGAGTTTTAAATTTGGATACTGACAGATTGGTTTTGAGTGGAGTCTGGAAAATCAGGAGTTCGGATCTTCTCCGTATGGAGGAGTATTTTGCAGGCATCTCAACGAGCTGCCGATGAACTAGACTTATTTTTCTATAGTGAAGGAAACGGCCAGAACTCTATGAGAGTTCAAAGACCTATACCAAAAGCCTCAAATAAAACCTTTTCATGGAGATTTACCTGAACTACAGGAATATTCCCAAGACCTTTTGATAACGGTTTCTGTACCATTTTGTTCATATTCATTTGGAAAGATGATCTCAAAAGATTGATTTCAAGCCGTTCCAAATGAAAGTGTAATACCAGTTTGCCATAACACGGCAGACATCTTGAACTGATAAAAAAACGGCTTTTCTTGGGCCACGTTTTTTTAAATTTGTGCTCATTAGAAACCGTCTGACTTGCTCTTTTCTTTCATGTCTTCGAAAAACACTACGTCCTTGAAGGTTTACTGGGTTGATGAATAGCTTTCCTCCTCTCTTCTTCAGTTATAATAGATGCCGCGATCGATAATTTTTCATACACTGCTTCACATTATCTCGATAATCTGAGAATGTGGCGCTGTGACATTTTCCTCAGATAGGCTCAAAATGGATGATAGCATCTCACAGCATCTGTATCTGTCATACCTCCAGATAGAATGAAGGGGTTCAGGTATTGGAAGCGAACTATTTTGCGCCGTAATATGTTTTACCGTAAAAATGGGGTGTTCCATCGCGAGTGGCGGACAGTGTATATCACTTTGGCCAACCCCATTCAGATGGTAGGTGCATTTTGAGCATTTCCGTCAGTCCAGAGAGTTTCATCGTACTACCTCGAATATTACGGAAGATACGAGGGTGTTTTCATGAGAAGTGAGATACACTATATGTCCCTTCAAATTCCCAGAACTATTACTTTGTGAAAAAAAAATATGGAGAGTGGTCAATGTGGTGAAAAACTCTCTTGTTTCCGCTCTGCAGGATATTCTGGATTGATTTTCATCGAGGTTAGGACTGTACACCATACATCATTGTTTCGACCCACCAAGGTCTCATCAGTGGTGCTAGGCTGATCAAAACAGCGCTTTTTNATGATATTGTTGATGAAATGATATCAGAATTAAACGTAGCATCTGAATATGTAATGATATACAGGGCATTCTATTGAAAAAAATGGAATTTTAGACTGTAGCACCTACACCAAACACCCTGTATATTTAAAAATTATATCAAAATATAGCTCTCATGAACTCCTAAAACTTTTGTATGAACTATTTTTGTGTATCTCCTTCAAGAAACCAGATATTGCCTGTCACATAAAATGTGGGACACCCGGTATACCACCCTTACTGCCAATCAACCAATCAACTGGGTGGTAGTCTAGTTCCACGCCAGACTAGCTCTTTACAATTTTGTGAGAATAGGTAAAATTATTTCCAGCGCGTTTTGAAGAAGAGCTGGAAATATACCATCTTCTCCGGGATATTTGAAGGGCTGAAAATACTTGATAGGCCATTCAACTGCCGGTGCTGTGATCACCTTTTTTGTGACGTCACAGTCGTTTTTTTTTGGCGTTTAGCGCCATCGAAGATGAGCGGTCTGTTGTTATCAAGAGTCAGATTTCCAAGAAAGTGATTTTCTATCGAAAGCTCTAACGTGTCTTTACTAAAGGTCGTAAATGTTCCATCGGGTCGTTTAAGCTTCTCAATTTCAGCAGTCGGCTCTCAAGAGAGAATCTTGTGAATTCTTGTGCTGCGAGGTAAATCAGACTCCCGTTTTGCCTTTCTTATTGTATGTCGTTAGAGTGGTTTCATTAAGCTCCCAGTTACCTGACTCTTTAGCTCGATTGAATAGTCGTTGAACTTCTTTTCTTTTACTTTTCAGGCTTTTGTTCCACCAAGAAGAGTTGAGGTTATCTCTTTTGACCCTCAGTGGACGGTTCTCATGATAGGATGAGATCACTGATTCGCGAAATTGCGTCGCTACTGTATCCATATCATTACAACTGTGAATAGTACTAAATCCGTCCCCAAAGTACGATTTAGAGAGTTTTTATACCCCCTCCAATCAGTGGATTTTGAGTCACGATATTTCCATTACTGGTCTTAGACCTGTTTAAATATTGAAAAGAATATATCTATGGTCTGAACAAGAAGGTTCAGTAGATACAGACCAATGGTGTATCTTGTTGCTCAGAGAATGTGAGCTGATGCTTAAGTCTAATACCTCTTGCCTATTGCTGGTGACAAAAGTTGGATCCGAGTCCTCATTAATTACAGACAGCCTTTTCCCTAGTATATAATCAAAGAGTAACTCACCCCTACGGTTTATATTCGTGCTGACCCACGCTGTATGGTGTGAATCGGCATCACATCCCATTACTATTTGTAGTTTGTTCCTTTTGCTATAATCGATAATTCGTCTAACAGCGAGAGGAGGTACAGTATCCGAATCTCCCGGAAAGTAGGCGGAGCAGGCGATCAAATTCGTCTTACCCTTCTTGCCCGATAGGGAAATTTGGATAGCTACCACGTCTTGGATGCAGAAGCCTGTAAGCAAAAAATGGTTAATACCTTTCCTGATGACCAGACATGCTCTGAGTTTCACCCCACCAGGAATATTGCTCAGTCCGATTACTCGGCCTGTATTTCCTATCCATGGTTCCTGCAGAAACGCAAGGTGGATTAATTCATCCTTGAAGTTGTTTCCAAGGACGAATGAAGCGGCCTTGGCATGTTGTAAGTTTGTCTGCAAACACTTGAAGATAACAAGTGTTGCCGCAAACTTAGAACCCCTCGACCCTAGGAGGGAGAAGATAGGGGGTCCTTAAAGACACCTCCACCCTCCTCTCCCGTGATCGAGGGATGTGTAGGCTCAGATGATGAGATGAGGACACCTGCTGTCTCTGAGTTGCCTGCTGATTTATTGAATCTCTATGACGAAACGATTTTCGTCTTTCAGAGAGCCTTTTTTCTTGGCTTTCTCGACGAGACGTTGGCCGTCTTCGTCTCTTGAGAAACATCTGTTTTCTCGGCCTTGGGCTGGGTGTGAGCCGGTGGTTTACCCCTATGTTTGGGTGGATATTTGGTTGAACTCCTCCCCATAGGTGGATTTCCACTCGGCCCCGC